ACCAACCTCAAAATAAACAAATGAAAGAAAAATGCCCTTTACAAAAACTAGAGTAAGTGTTCTCAGGAAGGAGAGCTAGAAGACCTGACAGAAGTGACAATATCGATGCATATTAATATTTCTTTTAACAGGTGGTAAATACCTTAAGCTGTTTAGCTAAACTTACAATAGCTGAAGAAAGGGGTTTTTACATTTACTGATGAACAGAAAGCGCTGTGATACTGAAGGGAACAGCAGCAGAACCAGCAGACACCTCTCAGAATTTAGGATTCAGCCTTCCCTGAATCTTCTACAGACAAGCCAAATGCATGGTGAGGACTGCACTCATAGTTCATAATAGAGTCATAATAAAGACAGAGAAGCAACTGGATAATTGATCTGGGAACAACTATCATCTTTGACTGTGGCTTGTCTACGGCTCTGGCCAAACACGGACGCTTATAAAACGTCCTTCAGCACTGTAACAGTAAATATGTTCCTTCTGATTCAGAGCTCCATGCCAGGCACGCTTGCATGTTATTAATTGTTGGGCATGCGCTTGCATTCTGCTTTCATTTCCTGACGTTAATGGGTATCACTTGCAGTACAATTATAAGCACAGCTACTCTTTTGGATGGACTCAACATATATCCTGACGAAATGACTGGCATCAGGAAAGATTTGCTTCCAAAAATGCTTGAAGCAAACAGGACACACAACTTGGTGCAGTCTGACTGTCCACACTCGTAAAGCAGTACAGTGTGCTCCCGAGGCTCTGACGAAGGGTAGCACAGGAGCTCTCCCTAGCACAGGGATCTGACCCTGCAGGCAACGGAGGAATGTCCTTGTGACCGGCACACCAGTGTGGTGTGACCCGCCCTTACTGAGTGCTCCTGCTTCCAAACCCTTTCTCACTGCTGTGCACAGAGCTTCAGAATGTCAAAAGCCCCCAAATCCAAGAGGCACCAGTTGGCATGAAAACAGGGAGAACATGGCAAGTCCCAGATCGAGCACATGACCTTCTAGATACCAGAAGGCCCATCCTGGATGTGCAGGAGAGGTGCTGAGGGAAGAGACCCATCTTGTTTTTACTTTGAAAAGAATCAGAACTTTCAGGGAAGTGCTTGCACCCTTTGCAAACCAGAGAGATTTAGGTTCATTACTGAAAATCAAACCTGCTATTTCAAGAGAAGAAATTTGTTTCCACTCATTTCCGCCTTCCTCTTTAGAACATGCTGATAATGGCACAGTCTCATTTTTAGACATGGGGCATTTTGTACTATGACACTAGCCTAAAGAAAACATTATTCATCATACAAACAGATTGAGCTTAATCTTAGCCTAAGTGCTCTTTATCAATCTGTCCAGACAGAAAAAAACTGAACTAGTAAGACAGCGGGGATAGTGCTAACAAAGTTTTCTCAAAACCATCCAGTAATAAATTAATTACCTACATTGCAAATTTCAGGGCACAGTGGCTGTTGACCAGTCTAGCTGTAGTAAAGTCAAGCTATAATTTACACAAAACTTCTGCTGGAAATTAAAGAATACTTCACTGTTGAAGATTACAACTTGTCCGGTTACCTTACAGCTTCCCACTGCTGCTATGTCTGTCCCGCAGAGAAGACAAACGCTACAGAAGAGAAGATGACCCGAGTAGCTGCTTTCATGACCACGCTGGAAGGCAGGGAAGCTGCTTTCTGCTAGGACATCTGTCCTTTCAGGGTAACACAGAACTGACCATATAATTTCCCCGTCACTAGCTGCTTTTCAGACACAGTTCTATGTTACACCCTGAGCTGTTTCAAGTGCTGATATGCAGTCATGGTGGGCTTGGAAAATAGCGGTTGAAAACACTGATTCAAGTACTCACAAGCTCCCACAGGTAGTCCGGTCACAAGCACCCCCCTGCAGGTTCTCAGGGGAGAACTCCTGTATGACTTCAGTCACCTTCCTCATGAAAAACTTTTGCACTGTTAAAACTATGCCTAAACCTCACCAAAATACAATTTTCCCCCACTTATTTCCTCTTCAGCCCTGAATGGCCACAACTTGTCATATGCATTCACTAATTCCCTCTAACTCTCTCTTTCATCCCAATCTAGAAGAAGATAGCACCTATTTTCTACGTTTCAGCCTGGAAGTTCATAGGATGCAAGTCACCAAGAGCACACTGAGGGTATTTCTGGAGAGAAGTAGCTCCTGTCATTTAAATTTTCTGTCTGGTCTTTTCTAGCACCAGGAGCGCAGTAATGCTTTTAAACTGTATAGTCAACACAAATAGTATTTAGTATTTAAATGTTAAGATGCTAAATTTGTATACAAATTCTTTTTAGAAGAGGCTTTTAAAGTCAGTATTACAGAGCAGTGTGGGGCTTAGATTCTGATCATCCAACTTCAAGTGCCTCAGAGGAGACAATTTCTCAGCAAACATTAGCAGAGAGAGGCTATGAACGTCCAACTGAAATCAAAACATACACGCTTAATCCACCCCATTCAGCAAGCGCTTCCTTCCTTCTGAATACCTAAGCTCTACAAGAATTTGACTCTTAAGACAGTTTAGCTCTCAGCAAGAATGCTAATTTTCTTGGACTCAACTCCAAACTTTGTAATAGGATACAAGTCTTCAGATGAAGTGGTTAGGATTGTTATAGTTGTGGCTCTTCAAAAAGATCAGTGGTTTAATGAAAAAAAAAAATCCATGTAATTTTGCATCCAATGTCATCACATGAATACAGGAAAATGAATGCAGTATGTCTCTAAGCTAGAACTGTAACACAAAACAACTAAACCAATTAATTCATTATAAATGGTGAATAGTTCTCATGCACAAAATCACACACGACATGAAATTGGACTACCAACTGTTGTCAATGCAGAACAAGTATGCCTTTATATGATTGATGGGGTACACACAATATCCTGTGGACCTATACTCCCAACTTAGTTCACTGAAACATGATCACATGAGAATTGCTTTGTTTCACCAAATCATTAACACTTGTTCAGAGATCTGCCAACTCACTCTAAGAGTTAACAAACTATGACCTTGTCCCTCTTGGCACACTGAGAATTACAATATTGATCGGGGACAGGTAAAGAACCCGTTCTTAAACACCAGTGCTGTGTTCTCCAGATCTGTACAATGCTGTGTTTTTCTTCACAGAAAATGGTGGGCATCTTCTTCATGCTCAACTTCTCAAGTGAAAATTGAGACATGAAGGTGGTAAAAGCTACTTCAAGAGTTTTAGTAACACACCAGTGACAGCACGAATCCTATCCTTGAACAATTTAGATAGGAAGAATAGCTCTGGACCAATACATCTGAAAACACAAACTGGATCAGAACGCTGTGGTCCCAGCCCCTCCATTACCACAACAAAGACCTCTGTCCCAGAGCTGCAGGGTTCCTCTGATGTGCTATCAAATAACTTGCTAAAAAGACCCAAACCCAGGTACAATTTAAGTTCAAACAAGAGAAGTTTTCATTGTTGCCAACAATATCAAGGCTGTCAAAGGCCCAACACGTCTGTTATTCAGCAGCTGCAGAAACAGGTGTGAGGCTGCATATTCGGAGCCTCCCTCAGAGGCCTGAGCACGCGCTCACAACGGTCATCACCAGAGCTGCATTTATACAGTCCCACACAACACCCAGTCCCTTTTGTTACAGCAAGGGAGCAATCAAAGCAAAAATTTCTGTGTTTCAAAAGCGACTGATCCCAGCACCCCATTCCCAACGGGGGTGTTTTGGTAGGAGTTGGGAACACGAGCACTTTGGTGATCACAATGTCCTTAGGTTACAGCACTTTGTATGAGAGTTTAACCTTGTTATTTCAAAACAATTAGAAGTATTTGTCTCCTCTCCTTCCTCCCCTGTGCTTTTTCTGTCTGTTTCTAAACCTGAACTACTTTTGCGGCAAATATTTATGAGATATGACTAAACTGTTTGAATGGCAGATGGTTTTGTTTTGAGCTATGCAGATACCATCTTCTACAAATGCTGAATAAATACCAAACAACTTCCTTCATCTAAATGAATACAAGTGACCGTATTGTTCCACTTAGGCAAATGAAGCAATTCACTGATCAAGTTGACACCGGTGAACATCTCAGAGACCAGAGTGAATTACTGGACTTTTGGGAAAAAGAGAACTAGCGCTGCATTTTGCAAAGCAGCTGACTATTACAGCCTCTTCCCAGACAGTCACCAGAGCCTCACAAGGAAGGACAGAATCACAGAATGGTTTGGGGTGGAAGGGAGATCATCTAGTTCCAACCCCCCTGCCATGGGCAGGGACACCTTCCACTGAATGAAGGAGTTTGGTTTCATCGCAATTAAAGGGTGAGTCTGACCAGATCTGCAGTTTGTCAGGCACTTCTCTGGGCTTAAAAACCACTTCAGACTTGCCCCTTGCTCTCCCCCTTGGATCAATACAACTGCTTCTGTGTCCATTCACCCAGTCAAGTGGGGAACTGACTGGAGATGAACCAAGTCTTTGTTGGCTGGTTATCTTTCTTAGCTTGAACCAGTTCCAGAGTTCACCAGGTGCAGAGTGGCCCTGACATGAGGTATGTCATGACGCCTGTGAGCCTAGTCAAGCTGGAAGGTTTGGCCAAAAGAAGTGTTCTTCCAGTTCAAGGCTGAGCAATGGAGAGGGAGGTTTGATACCCAGGTCTCAGCACATGAGTTCTGCTGGGAAGCATTTAGCTCCCCTGCGAACAGATCACCTGAAGATCTTTGCATGTTTTCTCCCAGTGGTAGTGAAGGGATAAGATACTGACAGGTTTATTTAAAGGAATTTTTCTTCTCTACAAATAAATTTACATCTTTCTTTAGACTCCTCTTCCCACAAGCCGCTTCGCTTTCTTTTCTCACATTAATAAAAAGAATTACATGCAATTTGCATGTAAAAAGGTGACTTAAAAATGCAAAAAGGCTCAACATTCCCTCCCCAAATCCTTTGGAGATTGAGTCATTTTCATGACTTCAAAAAGGCAAATATGGCACAAAAGAATGGAAATTAAGTTAAAAAAATCAATTTTTATAAATATTCTTCCTCTGTACAATTTCTCACAGCCCCATCCCTCCCACCCGTTTTTATTTACATTTATTTTTTTTAATTCCCACCCCGATTTATTTTTAAATCATAAAATATATATTTTAAATCTGTTCATATTTTAAAATATTTACAGGAAAAGTTCCTTCTGTTGAGGTCATGAGGAGTCTGTACAAGGAGAGGGTGGAGGGGGACAGAGGTGAAAATAGCTTCGTTCCGTGGCAGGAGACGGAGGGCAACTTTCTTCTGCCGACATGTACTGACTGCGTGGTGTGGGTGGAGGGGGATAAGGGTCTGAGTCTGAATTTAAATCTATGTAGTATTTGTTGGCCTTCCATCGACTAGTGGTGTAGTCACTGTCACACACGTCTGTGCTGCACGGGGTTGTGGGTGGAGCTATCCCTCGTATCAGGTATGGCCTGCAAAACAAACAAGAAAAGCCCACATGTTAGTTGCGATCTAGGGAAAAAACAGAGAAAAAGAAAGGAAGAGATTGAAAATGAACAGCTCCGTGTCCTCAGCCAAGAGCCTGCTCCTTACTGCTAGGTGAGCCTCAATTCAGTTTTCACAGCAACCTGACACGAAGTACCTGAACGGTGTTAGAATAAAGGGCACAACTCCCCACAGCCAGCAGTGCAGCCTTCCAGCCCCTGACCAGCCAGAAGAGACCACCGTGACCATCGAGCCCAGTCACTAACAAATAGGTTGACTCATCAAAGAGTTCTGAGAGAAGCTCGAGGAACAGAAAAAACACCAGCCCTCTCTATGCAGGAGTGACTGTACATAGCAATATAACCTACATACATTGCACTACTGCTCAGCAACACTGTATTGAACAGCGTCAAACCCTGTCGTGTCAAAATAAGAACACAAAGCCAACGTTTAACATCAAAACTGGCAGAACCTCCATTTGAACGGTCATTCATTAAGAGAGGGAAAAGCTTTTTTAAACAAGGTTAAGTCTGAACAAGAACATTTTGCTTAACATCCAAAATTACAGGACAGATCAATAGAAGACTAATCAAACCGTTTTATCTGAGCTGTACCTGTAAGATCTTGTGGTTGAAGGAATGTTTGAGGAATAAAACATCTCTGCATTATACAGGGAGCGATCGGTAGCTGGGGAAGGAGGTGGGTTCAAGATCTAGGAAGAATAGGAAAAAGTGCAAAAATTTGGTGTTAATTATACAACTCTACTTATTCTGAAAGTAGTATTTATGCCTCCGCCCTGTCACTCATCCTCATTTTAGCTTCCTCTCCTTGCTGCTTGGGTGGGATAGTGCATTTTTAAAGATCACAGAAGTTCATTACAAGACTTTGGGCTTAGGTACACTGCGGGCCTTCGAAGTTCTCACGGAACAGGGAATTTTCTTCCTTGCCACAGCCATTATGCTGGAAGGCTGGGGTAAAGCTGGCAATCGGACCCAGTTTTGCTGAATCTCAGTGCACCTCCTTGGGCATAAGGACTGCTATCATCCTCAGCAGATGCTAATGGGACATAAGGTCTGTTCCACTCCCAGCTCTAAACGTACCCCCAGTCAACAGTAGGGTCAGGAGGCCAAGTTCCTTCACTATGGCTAATACAACTCCGTCCCTCCTTTTTACTGCCGTTCTGTAAACATATCATTTTGGCACAGCTCACAGTGTAAAGGGCCCAAGAGCTAAGAAGCAGTTACAGCCTGCCCTAGCCTGTGCATGCATCTACATGGCTGCTGGTAACCCTCACACCAGGAGAGCAGTTTGTGTGCTTCAGAACCCTTTAGGATTCTTCCCCCAGCAGGAAGCAGAACCTCTGACACGGCCAGCAGGACACTGGCCTAAAACCAAGGAGAGTGCTTCATCCCTTCCAATGTGGAAAATTACAGCATGGCCACGGATGGTAGGTGGGGCCTTGCCACTGCTGTGAGCGTCTTGGACACAGCCCGTCCGGGCCATTCTGTCAGGCCACGGCCTGCCACACCGACCATGATGGCATCCTTCCTCTGCCTCTGCTCTGCTCTCACAATAATACTGTACATCCACTGGAGTGACTGGAGAGCATTGGTTTGGTCTTCACTGCGCAGTGTCTGGCAAACTGATTCCTGGCTGTTGAGCTGAGCCCGTTACTAACACTGAGATGCCCTGCACCCAGATTCACTGAGGGGAGACAAGCTTGGATTCCACCCATTGCCAGCTGTGGGGAACGATGAGTAACTGCCCCAAGAGCTCCTTCCAGACAGCCTCTACCTTGGAGAGCACTGCATACTACTTCTGGATTCTCTCCTACCAGCACTGTGAGCTGCATCAACACCACTTCCCGTTCTCAGCACCACGAAGATGTGTTAAACAAAACAAACAAAAAAAGCAAGACAATCAGATGCTCAGCTCTCTCCATTTTAGTGTCCCTCTAAAGCTGGTTAATTAGCTACTGGGTAGAACGGACCAAAATATTTGGATTAAGCAGTAACTTTAATGTAACAAAGCCCTTGCAACAGCTTTGTTCTTAGTATCCAGCATGCCTTTCCTGAAGGAAAGGCTGGTGTCATGCCTGCAGGCCCTGGCTGACACAGCCCCGAGTGGAAAGTAGAGAAGGAGAATTCCCAGTAATAGCAGTCCAACAGAAGAGTTGATCTTTCGGCCAACACAGATCCTATAGAATGGCACAGGCAGATCAGCTCTTGGGCTTCTTTCCTCTTTCAAGATTTATCTAAGTAAACGGTTTTTTAATATAAACTCAGCTAAGTTTTTTCTGTTCATCCTTTTTAGTGTGGCACTGACATATCTGTGAGGTGGTAGCATGAAATGCTGTAATTCAGCATGTTACAGAGGCGCTGGTGAAGCATGAGACAAACTCAATTAGGGGGGTGCTGAGTTCCACAGATCTGCTAGCTGTGACTAGCTTCCTGATGGCTTCGTTGAGAAGGTAATACATGAAATAAGTAACCAGTTTTACCTTACCACTAGATAAGCTCACAAGCCCCTCTTTTCCATCCGTGTCCTTCTTGAAGGGGAGAGGGAGCACATTTGCCACGGGTCAAACCACTATCGATCAAAACGCCCATACACAGCCTAACAGTGTGTATGGAAACACAGGGGCACACAGACCCACACAGTAGGGGGGCTCCTGACTAAGTACTACTGAAAATTGACTCTGCAACTTCGTGTGAGCAGAAGAGTGAGAGTGTGCATTGCTCAGAAGCACTAAGGAAAAAACCTGTCCTATGACAGAACGCTGGCAAACAGTAACCTTTGTATGTCTCCCCTATGTTTTCTTAGAGAATCATTGCCATCTATGCATCTTTAAATTCATGAAACTCTGATATGGGGACTAAAATTCTGTCACTTCCAACAGCTAAAAGCCAGAAATGGAGCTAAATTACAGCTGAAAAAACCCAAGCAAAGGAACCTCTGCTGGTACCAGTGTTTGCTCTCAGTGCACACACTTGTGTTTTTGGAATCAACAATCAACACTATCTGAACAGCAAGCCAAGCTTATTCCTTATGCGTTTGCATTCCAGTCCTGTTGCATCTTGTTTGTCTTTTATTCCATGTGTGCCTGCAGCAGTCTGCAGTGCAAAATGTCACTGGGCCACTGACATCAGTTTACAAAGCACAGAGAAGTCAAGGAGGAAGAACAGAAGTGCCCAGGAACAACCCAGCTGAGTGTCACTAGTAACAAAGCATTTTAGACACCACATAGCACCGTGTAATCCTGATGAATTATAACACAGCCCTTTTGGGAAGTGGGTGCTGGACTGTACCTGCATATCACACACAGTAACAACCAAGAACAATGATTATTAACGTTCTGTTGAGTAGCACGAATTTTCATCTTCCTTTTCTTCAGAAGTGGGAGCTACCTAACTCACAGGTATATTTTCAAGACATACCTGTGGGTAGAAAGTGGCTTTAGTGCTGGATGAGCTACTTGAAGAGGCTCCAGTAACATGATTTCTGTCATATAAGGGGGCACCACTGCTTCCTCCCATGAGACTCATGGAGCTGATCATGGACTTTCCACAAGAGATGCCTGCAGTGAGCAGAGAAGAAAACAAGGTTTGGTAAATCACGATTTTATCTACCAGTGCAAAACAGAAAACAAATCCACAGCTTGGCAAACCCGTGCAATGCTACTGGCTACCACTTTGGGAACAGTCTTTTATGTAAAAACTTCAGCATTACAAGGAATAACATATTTTGTAAAGAAAACGTCTCACCCCCAGACCACTTATTGTCTCACTGCGGCACTGAACTCCTCATAACCTGCTCTCACACTCTGCTGGGAAAGGAATCTCCAGAACAGCTGATCCAAACTTCTCACCCAAATTGTTAACTAAGAAATTTTCCAATTAAACAAACTCGGGCATGTGCAAAAAAATATTATGCATTGCCCAAGCAAAACAAGCTAGAGGCCTCTGAAGTTTTCATTTCCATCCATGGAAATGCAATTGCAAGTACATGAACAACAGCAAAAACCAATTGTTTTTATTGAAAAAAATCACTACTTAAACTGAGAATCAGCAGAGGTGAAAGGAAAGAAACCTGAATGACAGGAAAGGGAAGACAACATCCCCCAATCTGGTTTACTTCAATATACACTTAAATCAGACAAGACTTTTTCAGCTTCTTCCTCTCATACTATTCAATGCCAACGGAAGTGTTTAGTTTGGGAAGTTTTCAGGTGCAGAAAATAGTTATTACAGGTAGAGCAACTCCATTTGTGATGAACACTCACGACCATTTGGGAATGCCGCGGTATTAGGAACCTGTGTCTTTTCCTTAGAATTAACATCAACGGTAATATCTGCACAATGACAGCTTAGTTTAGCACCTACAGAGGTACAGATGAAAATCACTGATACTTGCTTTAATTAAAAAAGCTTTAGTGTGAAGTCTAATTAAAAACAGTACTGCAAAGATTTCACCTTCCATGGCTCAAATTTTATTTCCTGCCACAAAAAACTCTTGATAACCATAAATACATAATTTAAGCAGGAACAGCTGACCACAGTCATTAAAGTGCAAGAAAGGCTAAACCTAAGTTGTAGCTGGCTATCTTCGAAGCCACGGCTAGAAGAAAACAACACATCTCAAAAACTTGTTTAATATGAAGAAGTGCCACTTCTTTTTGTTTGTCTTTATCATCTATCTGATCTTCAGCTGACAAGAAAAGCAGACTCCAAGCTCCCCGAAGAGTGGATTTCTTGTATTCTGACCCTGTCTGGCAGGTTTACAGGTGAACATTTACTTTCCGGCTTCCTGGACAACATGAAGAGATATTCTTTCTTCTCAGGGCTTTGTAGTTAAGAATTTGCTATTTCCTCTATGAAAAGTGTATTTTACATAGTAAAATAGTTTGAGGCACATCATTTAAGTGTTTACTTTGATGTCCATATGAGGTTTCTGATTTCTTATTTATTAGCTGAATATCCTGAACTTTTATGTGCATATACTTCAAGCTCTCCTTCAGTCTCAGCATTGCAGCTGCATGCCCTTCTCCGAATGGTTGCTCTGAGTCCTTGCAAGGCAGAAGTTTTATAGATGGAGGGCTGAGACACAAAGAGAATAAATACTTGGTCCAAAAGCAAACAGGAAAGCTGTCCCAGAGATGGGCTGAACCAAAGCGGTTTTTTTCATTACACTCCAGGCAATAAGCAGCCACACCCAGACTGCTTGTGGTCTTCCACACTGGCTGCTCTAACTTTGGGGAGGGCGGATTATCCCCTGCTTTTTTGTATTACAGTAAAATAAGCTGCTTCACTTCTTTCCTCTTATTCTTTCCACTGTGGAGTAACTTACTCAGCCAGGACAAAATTGTGTAAAGACCTTTGATGGAGAGGACAGACACAAGGACATCCGAGAACAAGACACAAAGAACAACCCCACGGAGCTCTCACTAGAATGCTGACTGGCACATGCGTTCTTAATTTCCAATACTGCACGTGGTCCACTACTCTTCATAGTGTTCTGAAGGCCTTAGGTAAGCAGTGCTATGCAAACCCCAGGCTGTACTACATACACCAGAATGAACTATTTAAAGAGGATGTTTTTACTGGCAAAATACTGTGGATTTTCTATCAAAAACATAGATACCTGTGCAGATGCAGCCTAGCAAGAAAATTGCATTTGAAAATCTGGCAAGATGCCTAATGAAATGCATCTAATGGTTTTTGCATATCTGATCCAAACGACGGATTTATACCAAAACCACTGAGCAGATCAACATAATCTAATTTCTGCTCTTCAAAAACTCTGCATCCAGCCCTCTCAATAACTTGCAAAACTCCAAATCCCGGCAATGTGACGGCACTGATTAGATGCAAGGTCCTTACCACCCTTACCAGTAAAAGTGCCATGCTGAGAACTTCCTGGAGCAATAAAATTAAGAGGGACGTGAGGGGTGCCGCTGACATACTCATGTGGAAAAGGACTGTTGGGCCCGGTGTAGCGCTGACACACCACTCGTTGGCAAACGAAGTACATTCCTCCCATGACAAAAAGTGACAATATTATGCCAATGACAGGACCAATGGCGCTACTGTGCGGCTGGGACTCATCTGAGGCTGGCTTTGTTTTTTCTGGAAAGAGAGGAGAAAAAAAATACAGGAGGTCGTTAAACATGGGGCAATATGTACGTTGCTGTCCCACAGCTCATGCAGCAAATCAGTCAGCTCACAGTGATTCAAGCAGCATCTTGGAAAGCATCTGCATCAAACTCAAGCATCCGTAACTCCATATGCTATGATTCAGTGCACAAGACCTCATGCCTCCTCTTCCCCTCCATGCACGTAAAGCAGTACTAGCCAGCTACTCTCCTTTCTGTCTGGCAATTCATCTCGTCACAGCATTACTTGTCCTCTTGATATAACAACAGCCTAGGAAGTTTCCTTTCCTTCCCCCCACAAAGTCTACGGGTTAAGGATATAGGACACTTTTACACATTAAGTCCTTAATGAGAGAGGAATCTGCTCTCTCAAAAGCCATTTGGGCTAGAAATAACACTAAAAAATTAAAAGATTTTCCAGTAGGGAAGCTACCACATCTATTAAGCAGTGGAGCAGTTAATACAGGACTTAAAATAGAATGCATTTCCTTCCTGACATACGACTTGCTTTCTAAAAGAATCCTGACAAACTGGAAAGAAAACACAGTCCAAAATATCTCACACACTTTCCACTTTTTACTTCTGTTTTCCCTATATAGCCCAATGTTAAATAATAAAAAGTGCTGCAGTATTGGAGATGAGCTACATATCACATCTTTCCCCAATTAGGGGTAACATGTTCAAAATTCTTGCCAAATAAACCTGACACCCCTGTGTTTTTCAGCTATGTGACAACCTTCAGTTGAAATGATTTCTTCCATGTTATTCATACAACACTTATAATTTTATCTTTTTACATACACAAATATATATATATTCATAAAGTGAAAAAATCAACATACACTTGGCCAAAGACTACCAATTTTACATCTTCAGACCAAACTATAGACCCCTTCCCCCCTTAATGAAGTTTTAAGAAGTGAAATGGTTCATGCAAGACTCAAGCTTTCACTTCAGAAAATTTTTTACCAGTGGTTCTGGTTTCACTCCCTTCAGTGGAAGGGAATGAAAAACAACTGAAATTTGAGAAGATAAAGGAAATACAAAGAGGTACCAATAAACTCTTAGCAGCTTAGCAAGAAGAATTCATTTCTCTCTTGAAGTCTTTATACACCTAATCTACTTTTCACACTTACTAGTGCATGATAGCTTTTATGTCAGCTAAGACCCTCGCTTTCAAACAGTCAGATCAGTTCAGATATGACACCAGAAAAAAGCAAAGCCAAAACTAAAACACGTTCCCAAATTAGCTGATTTAAACCACACAAGTCTCATTTGGTTGAACCTAGCTTCTTCTGAACGCCAGATCCGTATTTAGAAAGAAGCAATCATTTTTCCCTACTTGAGGTCTTTCCCTCAGTCAAGCAAGAAACCACAGAACGCTCTGTTCCACAAAGGGGCTCCAGGAGACAGTCCTATGTCTGCATAAAGACACATTTAAATCAGTTACGACCTAATCGCAGGACTAGACCCAAAGTCCAAACAGGAAACAGCTCCGTTAACTTGGCAGCAAAGAAGTCTGCCAAGTGCACAAAGAAAATAAATTTAAAAAAAGGAAGAAGTGGCTTTACATTATCCAGGGAATTGGGGGAACTGGGTGAGAGCTGAGAGATAAACGGAAGATGTGGGAGGAGCACGAGAAGCATGTTCAGTCTGAAATTTCCAACAGGGAAGCTAAACCGTTTTTGTCGCCATTCTTTCAGTCTTCTCTTCACCATTTGGGCTCCTTTCACCACTCTTGCTCATGACATACACCTTCCCTTGCTGTACCCACTGCCAGGATGGAAGGAAGAAGCAAATTACCCTGGCCAGGCCTTGTGACCCCTCCTCTCATCCCAGCAGTGGCACAGCTGCTGACAACTGGTGCTTCAAAACCTCACAAGACTCCAAGATACTAAAACCTTGCAATTAGCCAGTTGTCCTATAGGCAACACTATTAAGCCAAGTGCATCATTTCTCTACACAAACCCCACACGAGGTATTTGTTCAGAATGAGCTACTGAAAGATCAGCACATCTATTTGCTTTTGTTCTAAAATGCCATGTTCCAACTATTTTGCTAAACTACTCGTGAGCTAGTAAATGCTCCCTTTATCTGCCCCATTGCCTGAAAACTTCATGCACTGGTCACCCTGATGGTGCAAAAAGAGGCAAACTGCAAGCAGAGCACAAGTAAGTGAATTTTACTGACCACTACAGACTGCAAAATAACAGACCTTGCTAAGGACTAGCATGGTACCTGCCATCAGCCTGCCTGTAACTTGCATATACCCACTGCCATCAGAATTCAAAGTAACATTTTGCCCAGAAAAATCAAGGTCTCTCCTTCTATTCTTTTCCTACCCGCACTTTAAGAGACCAGCTTGCTGTCTCTTGTGGACACTTGCTCATTGCATGCTAGTTATCCGCTTGACCCTGTAATTGCAGGGGATAGGGCTCGCATTGTTAAACGCCGCCCCAAGCTCAGCAGCAGCTCTGCCAAGTTCCAGGGTACTAAGCACAACAGAATCAGGTCCCCCTGGGTACAGAGCTGAAGGCCCATCTAAACCAGGCAGTGGTTAACCCATACAGCACTTCAGCACCAGCTTGAAGTAACACTGGGATTCCAGTTCCTCTTCACTACTGCTGTTCCCGCATGACCTGGAATAACGGCACTCCAGACTTGCTACCCCACGCTGCAAGCTCACCCTCTTTTGCTGCACAGAGCAGTGGAAGAGCACGACTATATTGAGCAGCCAACTGTTGAGAGTATTTGGCCAAGATTCCCTGGGCTTCCCTGGGAGAGTATGACTGTGCAAAGACTGGGGCTCTGTATAGGGATGTAGGACATTATGCCTGAGCACAGCACTTGAATCTCCAGGAAAGACATCTCACCGCACATAAGCTCATCAGAACCGTCGATGCAGTCTGGAAAGGAGTCACACTGTTGCTTCAGGAGGATGCACTGGCCGCTTGCACATTGGAACTGATTGGGTAGACAAATTGCTGCACAGAAAGAAAGAAAAGGTTAAGTACTACTTGCACGGGAGCAAAAACCAAAAGAAGTGATACATGAAGCCACAGTGCATTTCCTATGATGATCAGGTTGGTACCAGCACACCTGCTGTGCTGCTGTGGGTAAATGCAAGTCTGCATTTCTCTGAGTCTTCCTTCTTATGGTTACACATCCTACTCCGTGGGGCTAAAAAAAATTCTGATCCCCATCACTCCCCATTCTTTGTCAAATCAGTCCTGTTGGGGGCAAAACTGGGATCAAACCAGCAAGAATCTCCTATAATAAGTAACAAAGTGTAGCTGATCCCCTGACATGTTAAGAAAATGTAGCAATTTGGCGAATTATAAAAACTTATATAAACTATACTATCTTATGTAGCCTTGCATAACATAACTTTGCTAAATAACTGCTAAATTTCTCTTCTATATCCAGAAGCCTGTGTTTCAGCAAAGAGGTCTTGTTAATTAACTTTGGAATCTCCGTCAAGTCAAAGTGTATCAAATGATCAGTAAAGAGACTGTCTTATGAGGGCTAGCAACCAGCAATCCTGGAAGGTTCGCACTACAGGTTATTCAACGCAAAAAGAAGAAAGGTTCTTTTCTTCTGGAGGAGAAGACCCACATTCATATTTGGGATCACAGCACCGGCGGTGGTGCGAAGCAGACCTCCTGAATAGCCATACTTACTTTGACATGGTCCAGTTTGCAAAGCAGTTCTCACGTAAGAGAACTAAATTATCTAGGGAGAAAAAAACTTCGCTAGAAGCACCAAATGCATCAGCTCCTGATTTGGACTGTTATGCTCCCAGGAAGTTGGATGCAGCTCCACAAGGTCCTACAGCGTGTACAAAACAGACGTGTTGATAGAAGGCTCTAAAAGCATATGGAGCTCCACTTACTTTCTTGCACTAAGGGTCAAGTTCTGTGTGTACCTTCTTATTTGCCAATGACTACCAGCACTTCACTTATTCGTGCAACCGTCTGCTGCTCCTTTGTCTGCCATCAAGACTTCTGTCTTAATATCCTTTCCCTTCTTACATGCCGTTATCTTCTGTTGCTGTCCTGCTTTGCTGGGCTCCTTGTTTCTTCTAGATCCAGCAATGGACAACTTGGAGCACTGAACATGTGTTGTACAGGAGATGAAGCTTCTTCAGTGGCATGGTAATCCAGCTGCAATATCAAGAGACTGTTAACCTTGTGACTTCTACTGGGTATGAGAGGACCAGCTAGCAGTGCTACAAGAAGTGCAAGAAGATGAAAGCCACAGTCTTGACAATGTGGGACAAGAACCACAAACACATCCAGGGACATTTCTTTGGCCATTACCAGTCTTAGCCTGCAAACCCTGCACCAATGCTTCAGATCCAACTCTCCAAAAGCACGCCTTGGGAAACCAGGGGACAGGATAAGCAGCTTCTGATAGAATCAAGGCATTGAACTCAGGCTGATCACTGCTCTGACCAGAAGGCAATTCCTCTGATGCACGAGGTATAACAGAAGGGTTCTGTTACGCCCAGTTAGCCTCACCACCTTAATAAACCTCATATGAAGAACAAGAATGTACTATGTGCTACCTTCCCTTCCCCAAACACAGTGGGTTACAGGCTGACACAGGCTAAGGGATGAGAAGGGCCTACTGGTTTTATTTTTCTCACGAATCCACTCAGGCCTTGGCCTGTAAAGATTCTTGAGGACTACAGAGGCCACATTTACCACACTCCCTCAGTCTGACCCTGGACACTGAGTATGTTCATAAACCTTCTAGGGAAGTGTCAGACAGCATCCTGGACACAAGTCTAGTCTTTGGTGGCCCAAGTGCGTCCAGAGGACTAGGCATACAACCACTGAGCATTCCACCGCTGAAGAAACCGATCTTCAACTATTCTAGACCAGACGGTAAGGCTCATCTGTGCCCTCAAAGAGGCTGTGCAGGACAAGGCAGGCACCTACAGTTCATATGATGCCAGGTACGTTGGCATTAGGTTTGCTTAGCAGTGCCCACTGTTTCACGGGGAGATGACCATATGTACATGATACTTTGACTCTGTGTGGGACATGGCACTGTTACATTGCATATGGGCACCATGGTGGGCAAAGCAGAGCCTCTTGATGAAGCAGTACAGGTAGTAAGTACCATCTCCCATAAGAGAGACAGGAACTTGGACATGGCTGATCCTCTTCTTGTTTACAAAGAAGGTACTGGTGTTCTGGTGTCCAAGCTCAGAGTTACAGAAGACATTGCAAATCGACAAAAACCTACCCTGCTGGCCCAGTGGCAATGGTTAGTTGCTGAGCAGGTAGAGTCAAAGGTCCTGAGGCTTTACAGGGCAAAAGCCATGCTACTGAACAGGCTCCTAAAATTTTGTACAGCAATAAGAAGCCACGGTGCCAGTCATTGTCAAGTGCCTGTTTCAGCTATGCCTTGATACCAGACACAGAAGACACAAGTTTTCCCATCAGCCAAAGGATGATGCAAAAGCACCCATCCATGCTTCTCTCTTGGACCCAGATCCTACGGCTGACCGCATACAAAGCAGCTGAAGCAGCAAGAGTTCCTTGGATGTCATTCCACAGGTTTCTCACAGAAAGGTACATCCAGGATTATAAGCTTGCTAAGAGCAAACTCTCAGAACAGCCAGTTTAGCCACAGGACTAAGTCCATCTCTGCCTTGCTGTGGCATCTTGCAGTGACCACTGTCCAAACGTGAAGTGGACACTGTGGAAACAGTGCAAGCCAAAAACATAATCACGCAGGAGAAAAAAGCATGTGGTAAGTTCTGCCAGTTTCTTTCCTGTTTTCATTCTGAATATGGATTAAAGATACTGTCCTGGTTTGGCTGGGATAGAATCGCGGGCCAGCCATGCCAGGCAGGCTCAAGTCAGCCTGGGCAGATGCCCTGAGTTAGCTACAGGGGTAGCCCATCCCATAATGTCAGGATCATTATTAAAGGGGGAAGGTTTACTGAGGAAGGGGAGCCCCTGTAGGGATCCTCCTGCTCCTCCTCTGGCTCCTCCCTGCTCCTGAGCACTGCTCTCTGGTTGACTGTGATGACTGGATACTCATTTGGCCGAGTCAAACTCTGTATTTCTCTGTTGGTACTGGTGGTGTTTCGTTACATCTGGTTTCACTACAACCCAGGGGTCTGCTCTCCTTCTCCCTGATTCCCCTTCCTGGCTGGTGAAGGGTTGTTGGGTGATAGAGCAACTGTTAACCCTGTGTACAGGCTAAATGTAGAAGATCCATTTGGTGCCTAACGTTTATTTGGGACTTAACTTGAATAGCTCACTCAGGAAAGTTGTAAACCTCCAAGGGCTGAAGTTTCAACAGATTTTGGCTGAGTCACTACAAGCATTCACTATGCTGGTGTTTGCACTTGGTAGAATTCTTGGGTATTTGGTCTTAGATTTGCTTTTGGAGCTATAGGCAGCTTTACTGCTGCTTGTTATTGGTTATCTGCAGCTGATCCCTTTTGGGCAAAGGGGTAGAGGTGCTGCTTTGCTGGGTACTTTAGTGTTTGGTTATGGTATTATAAATTCCTCTGAAGTTACATCAATTTCTGATTTCTTTGGAATGGCAATGTGCAAAGACAAATGGCAATGCCCATGGGATGTTTCCACCACCATGTTCATATTATCAGTACTTTTGAATATATTTCAGTTTCTGGTTGTATAGAGGAGGGTGTGGTGCAGCTACCTCAACCCTTGTGGGAAACACCGAGGCCACTTCAGCCCCTGTGAGAAGTGTTGCAATTACTTAGCTCACCTAGGGATTCAATCAGTGCCAGTTGCCCCTGTAGAGAAGGCAAAACACAAGAAAAAACAGCAGGTCCTGCAGGGACATGTCAGGCAGACAGAGGTGACAACTCTCTCTCTATCCTTGGGTGAACTGTGAGATATCTGTAAGGATTATGGCCAAAGAGCCACTTGTTATCTGGCTGCTCCAATGCTGGGATAACAGAGCCAATGGTGTGGACTTCAGTGGTAGAGAAGCTAAACAGCTGGTATCAATGGCAAGAGAAACTGATACCGACTGATGTCTTGGAAGAGAAGCACATCCTCTCACTCTCTGGAGGTGACTCCTGTTGAGTGTAAGAAACAGGTATTCCTTTAGCGATGACATGGTATACCGCCCAAGCAAGTGGATGACAATTGAGAAACGTATGAGCTACCTGAGAGAAACAGCTCTGCAAGAACTGATGTTCTTTGAACTGGACAACCGGCAGACACCGGTAGATCTGTATGAACAGGTTCACTGGACCCATGTGGTGCAAGTGGGTCCTGAGTGCGCCACCCTCCTATGCCAACCCATTGGCATTACTTAGTTGGAAGGACAATGAGGCACCAACTGTGGGTGAAATGGATGACTGGCTGCAACAGTATGCTAGTAATATCATTGCCTCTCTGCGGGCTGGTATCTCTACCATAGAACAGACCTCTGATAAATCCATGGAATTGCCTAGTAAAGTGTTGGAAAGATTGTCCCAGTTAGAGGACAGGTTCTGTTCTCTATCTGAACTGATGTGTGTCTCTGCCACCAGGAGAAGGAGTCTTCCTGTAAGCCTGCTCAAGAGAAATGGCACCCTGTGGTTTTTCCTGCAGAACCATGGGGAAGACATGAGAAGATGGGATGGAAAACCTAACTTGGTCTTACAGGCAAGACCACAAAAAGGGGCCCTGTCAGGAGAAGTGCTGCTCCCGTTTCCAGAGGCAGCCCTGCAGACAGCATAGATGGGCTTCAGATCCTAATTTAAGACATGTGACTAATTGTGATGAGCTGCTCAAGTGCAAATGTTAACAACTGATGCTCTGCTCAGAAGCAGAGGGGCCCTGCCTCCAGCCAGGGGGAGGACAGGGACAACCAGGTGTATTTGACTGTGTGGATTCGATGGCCTGGCACATCAGAACCACAGAAATATAAGGCTTTAGTTGACACTGGTGTACAATGCACCTTAATGCCATCAAATTACAAAGGAATGGACTCCATCTGTATTTCTGGAGTGACGGGAGGATCGCAGGAACTGACAATAGCGGAAGCAGATGTTAGTCTGACTGGGCGTGACTGGGAGAGGCAGCCTATTGTGACCGGCCCAGATGCCCCGTGTATTCTGGGACTGGATTATCTCAAGAGAGGGCACTTCAAGGACCAGAAAGGGTAGTGATGGGCGTTTGGAGTAGCAGCAGTGGAGACAGAGGAAAATACACTGCTGCCTACCTTGCCCGGTTTATCAGAGGACCCTTCTGTTGTGGGGCTGCTGAGGGTTGAGCAACAAAAGGTGCCTGTCGCCACTGAAACAGTGTGCCAGCGACAGCATTGTATGAATAGAGACTCCCTGATCCCCATCCATGAGCTGATCCATCAATTGGAGAACCAAGGTGTGATCAGCAAGTGACGCTCGCCCTGTAACGGTCCCATACGGCCAGTGTGGAAGTCCAATGGCGAATGGAGGCTGACAGTGGACTATCATGGCCTGAATGAAGTTACACCACCACTGAGTGCTGCTGTGCTGGACATGTTAGATCTTCAGTACGAACTGGAGTGGAAGACAGCCAAGTGGTACGCCGCTATTGACACTGCTAACACATTTTGCTCTGCTCCTGTGGCTGTGGAGTGCTGGCTGCAGTTTGCTTTCACCTGGAGGGGTGTCCAGTACCCCTGGAATTGATTGCCCCAGGGGTGGAAACACAGTCCCACAATTTGTCAGGGATGGATACAGTCTGCACTGAAAAGGGTGGAGCTCCTGAGCATCTGCAACACATTGATGAGATCGTTGTATGGGGTAACCCAGCAGAAGAAGTTTTTGAGAAAGGGGAGAAAATAGTTCATATTCTTCTGGAATATACGCCATCAAAAAAGGCAAGGTCAAGGGACCTTCGTGAGAGACCCAATTTCTGGGAATAAAATGGCAAGATGGGCGTTGCCAGATCGCAATGGACACGACTAACAAAATAACAACTTGTGTCTCATTCTTTGGTGGAAACATAGCTTTCTTGGGAGTTGTGGGTTTCTGGTGAATGTATATTCCTGGTTACAGTCAGATGGTGAAAACTCTGTATGAAGTGACCCAAAAGAAAAACAATTTTAACTAGGGCCCTGAGCAGCCCTTTGAACAAATCAAACAAGAAATTGTACATGCAGTAGAAGTGGATAAAGTCCCCATGCTCTGTGAAAGGAATTTGTTGGGGAAAGCTGAGTATTTCCTGCTTTGGGCAAAGGCAAACCCATTTGTGGGGTTGCTTTCGCTTGGGGACCTGGGTATACTTGGTGGATCGTGATGAAAGATGGTGAAATCCAATGTGCACCTCAAAGGAATTTAACTGTAGGT